CGTTCTTCCGTGGCCAACTTCCGCAACAACCCTTAATCCTGAATTAGTTAGAGTGATTGCCGGAAAAAAAGGTGAGCGCATCGCATCGGGATTTTATGTTTGATACAATTAACAGGGAAAACTAGCAAAAAAATTAAGGAGGTGAATGGTCAAACCGATATTATGGGTCAAGTGTCGAGCTCTCGCAATATTTCTTTCTTTTAACTAACATTTTTTTAATGTATCATCTAAAATATTGTGTAAGTGCGTGAACAATATGCAATTTTATGTAATACGGTCTTGAAAACCTTCAGCCATGTATGACTAGAAATCTGGCGAACCTGATTGGCAATAAAAACTATAAAATTTAGTGTGCTATCGGTGGTGACAACAATTTCAGTGAATTTTCAAGAGCAAGAGAAATCAGTCAGAATTTTGGACAAATGTTTGTTGAGAGTGCACCATGGAAGTAGCAGCGATAATACTACCATACAAGAATTCCTTATTTAGAACAAATAAAATGAAAACCCTGATTATTTGCTTTAACATTTATTGCCTGAAACTTTGGCCTCACAAAATGTTGGTATGAATCTGCATCAACTGTTTAGACTAAGAGCTTATTCAGCTATAGTATATACATTATAATATATGATGATTATTTAAGCACCTATCGATAAGTTATCGAGTTACCGTATGGAAACGGGATCATCATGGTCGGAAATATTTATATCTCGCCGTTTTGGCTATAAACAAATTTGTGTCAATGTCAAATATCACAAAAGATCAATACTAAAGTTAGTAGAATTATCGTCAAGATTGTTTCAAACACTCACCGTGCAATTCTTGTTCGATCTTGCAAACAGTTCTCTCGGGTTGTCGTCTGGACGTGGACATGAGCTGCGGTCGTTGTGAGGAGTGAGCCGGCAGCTTGTGACTTAAATATTGACGTCGATTTCCCGAGCAGTGACTGAGGAACTTGCAAGCCCGGTTTGTGATTGGCCCCCTGCGCGCTGTCAATCATTATATCACTGACTCGCTTCATATTAATGAGACGGAAATGATGTGTTACATTGCCACAAGTTAAACCCAAAGCTTGTATCACCGACACTCAAATAGACGCATCTAATTGGAGGAATGACTGTATGGATATCGGTGACACAATCAAACACGTGGAATGTGATTGGCACCTGTCAATCACAGACCACTCACTTGTGGTCACCGACTTGTTGGCTGACTAACTCCGATTGGTGGATAGAATAATGACGTTCATCGGCCATACGTGATTAAATCAGTGTTTGTTTTGCGCTTCGTGCTATTTAATGGAGCCACGCATTTGGTGGCTAGTATTTTGTAGTCAGGTTATGCAGTCTACATTTTTGATTGAAAAATGAAGGCGTAATAATTTAGCTTGAAAAGAAAAGGTAATAAGAACTTTAATTTATTGTGTGCATAATATCCAGTCCATGTACAGTTGCCGCTCTCTTACGGTGAAGTATACTTATTTTGCAGAACCCAGCCGTTCCCAAAGGCAACTTAATTACAACCATTCATCTATCCCCATCCACTAGTGAAACGTGCGCTCGGCTCGGCAATTTCTTGGCATGCAATCGACCTTGCACCTGCAGACCCTCCCCCCCCTAATTGAGGCCCTCCCTACTCCACTTATTGAGCCCAAACTATAAAAAAACCACCAAATTAGGCCATTCCCGATCTTGACCCTCGCCTAATCTAACCAATCAGGTTATGCAGTCTATATTTATGATAGAAAAAGGAAGATGAAATAAATTTAACACGGAAAAAAAAGCGCACTGAGAACTTGGATATACTGTGTGTGCAATATCCGATCTATGTACAATTGCCGCCCTCTAACGGTGAAAATATACTTATTTTGTGCATCCCAGCCGATCCCAAAGGCAACTTTATTATAACCAATTATCTATCCCCATCCACTAGTCAAACGCGAGCACGGCCAAGCCAACTTCTTGGCATGCAATCGACCTTTAAATTGCAAAAACCCCTCCCCGCTTATTGAGGCCTTCCATCTCCGCTTATTGAACCCAACCTATACCAAAACCAAACACAGAAATATGTCAACCCCAATCTTGACCCTCGCCCAACCAAACCCAATCCCAAACTCACCCAACTGTTTCGATCAAACCGTGTACAACAGACTTTCCCTAGGAAAACATTCAATGGCCTGATCTCCAAGCCAAGCACGAATCCCCCTAAGAACCCCGTCTCCATCATCCCTCCCCCTCCTTGGGGTTCACCCCCCAACAGAAAAATGTCCCTCCCTCTCCGAAAATGTGTACGTCCTATAAATGACCATGGTTATTAGGTTAAACAGAAATTAACCACCCTCTTCCAAATGTAGCATCGCAGCTCCCCCATCCCCCTCCCAATGGTGGGAACTCTGGCTACACTGCAGCTGGTAGACCGGTTTCAATTTCTTTTATTTTCGAGTCTAAAAACGGAGGCTGTGACCACAAATGTCATGCCACAAATTAAATACGTAAATAAAACTCTCTCTAAAATACCGAGTTATGAAGCCTATTTCAGAAGCCTGTATTTCTGAACACATTCTCGATTTATCAGTTTTATAAGGGGCAGGGACACTTGCCCGCCCCCCCCCCATTACATTTACACCACCATGCCTTCGCGCCTCTTTTTCTTTTCCTTGTTCTCTCCTTTTTTTTTGCTAATCCAGGGGGAGGGGCGTTCCCCCCTTGCCCCCCCATCTCGCGATGCCCATGAAAACCCCGCCTATTGTACTTTTTTGTAGTCGTTGCAATTTGATGACGGGACACGTCTCAACAAAATAACCTGATTATCAATTTAAATATTGAGCTTTTTATTCCTTACCAATTAATTAAGCAGAAACAAATGGGAAAAGATGGGATGGGCTAAATGTTTGACAATTCATCTTGATAACATTCTCTGCACGTTACCATCCTTAATTCAGTGCGAGGCTTAGTTGGAACTTACAAGAAAAACGCTGATAAATTATATTCGAATGTGATCTAGCCCTATCGATCAATATACCAAAGCTGTGGTGCTATTAAAACAAACCATTCAATACACATAGTTCTACATTCTTGGCTATTTTAACATAATTGAATGTTTGGTTCTCATACTTTTTCGTATTGTACTCATTTTAAACTTTCCAAACATCTGCAAAAACGTTTAAAAAACAATACAGTCAAAGCTTTTCTTTAATAATTGCATATTCTGATTGCAAGAATTGGGTGCACAAACATCTAACAAGCAGAGTCGGAAATAGACAAATAATTCCACAAAGTGACATCAAATCATAATCCACTCCAAAAAAACTATTAATATAGCAACAATACAGTTCAAACTCAAAGCGTGTTCGAGCTAGATTTAACTAAACTTTATTTTAAAAAACAAACAAGTTTATGCATACAGTTTTTCAGAAACAACGCATTCTATATTGCATGGGGCTACACTACTACATGGGCGTCGCAATGGGGAGGGGGGGACAAGGAGCCCCCCCCCCCCCCCCCCCCCCCCCCCCCGCCCGGAAAGCAAAAAGAAAAAGAGGCGCGAAGTCATATTGGTGTAAATTTAATGGGTTGGGGCGGGGCAGATTTTCTCCTAAACGGCCAATGGTACGAACTTTCAACTTACATCGACCCTCATCCCGAGTGGTACATATTCATCTAACGTTATAATGACGTCATCGGGTGTCAAATTACAAGCGAGTTTTCGTTGAAAAAATGACCAACGTCTTTCACTTATAACTCTCGAACAAAATAAGCAATCGTGTCATACTTGTAATTAGATGGACCATTATTTGATGAAAGTGATTTGTCGTGTACGTGAACTCTCTTGACTGTTACTTCCGGGTCAGCCGGAGGGTGAAAGTTAGGTGAATTTAAAATTCAGACAGAAGCCTGAAAATCAAAACGAACCATTTAATCCCAATCGATTTACAGGAAAATGTTAATAACATCTAAGGTCATCATGACGTCATCAGGTGTCAAATTACAAGCAATTCAGGTTCCAAAATTTGAGAAAATAGTTTCAGCTATCTCATTAGAACTAAATGAAGTATTGTGATCATTTTTCGTGAAGTTGTAAATGATGCCTCTGGCAACAACTCCTATTCCCGGGCACAAAACCGCTTAACCGTCACTTCCGTTGTTACCGGAAGTGCAATAAAAATTTACTATAACTCGAAAGCGGAAGTTTTTTTTTTCTAAAAGCAAATAAATCATGGAAGTGTTTAGAAAGGAATAAAAGACATAAAAACAACATTATGACGTCATCATCCACCAGGGCGCCCTCTAGCGGTACATCAAATAGGGTTTTCGCTTTTTAGATTTACAAACGATCCGTCCAAATTTAACCGAATCGCCCCTTGTTATATTTTTTCTCAACTACATATAACTTTACAACGTTTCAAAATTATGACGTCATCAGACCAAAAGTTAAACTGTAGGGAGATTTTGTAAAAAAGATCAGTTTTTATTCAATGCTATCATTTGATCCCCGTCTCATGACTTTCTTCGATATTCGTTACATTGTTGACTTTCGGATCTCTAATGCTGTGGCGTCGTCAAACCAAAAGTGAGGTGTTAAAACATATATTAATATTTTCCATATTTCATATGTTATTTTAACATCATAATGAACATGTATCATCTCATAACTAAATCAATATTTAATTTTCCTTTTAGGACTAATGATGACGTCATCAAACCGGAAATAGCCTGTACGTGTACATAAAATGTATACTTCAATTTGATGGCTTTTCTAACAAAATAATTGGTGGTACTGGAAAGGTTATATTTTCGTGACCCTTTGTTCTTACATTAAATTATTCACAACTTTACTGGGCAGTGTTTAATTGAGAAGTTGTCTGCCCGACCAATCCGCGTAAACTTCTAGTTGTCATTCTCATTACTAAGATATTTAACATTTTATCTTTAATTCATTAATTACTGTTTCGGCAAAATATCCCAGCCCCTGTATTTCATGTGTGGTGATTATTTATGTATTTATTCGGAGTAAAGAAGGAAGCCACTAAATGAGGTGTAGTCATAGGTGGAATCACCATACACCCTACCGCGCATAGTCAGATACACCGTGTCTCCTCGCTTCAGGACCAGCACCGCGCTACCGGACATCTGACCACGTTGACTTGGTTGACCATAGGTAGTGATCGCCTTGTAGTCGTTTTTAACAAGATGGATGTGAACTTCACCGCTGTTGGCATGCTTAAGAACAGAAAACGTAAATACGTAGGTGCCAGGCACACTACAGGTGAACGTGCCGGTCTCGAGATCGAAGCTGGTACCCGGCAGAAGGGTCTTGGCCTCCTGGAAGGGCAAGCGGGTGTCGTGACTCGAAGAGGTATCCGAGTTGCTCGTCCTCACCACGGTGAATGCCACCCGCTGGTTGGAGTCATCTGAAGTCTCCCCTGGCTCACCCTTCTGACCTTTGACACCAGTTTCCCCGGTTCCTGCAACAAATCCCGGTAGGTCCTCAGTGCTTATTCACAAAGCACCCGTAAATGTTTGCGTTGCGGGGACCCGAAAGTGGATGTTAAGGGCACGAAAGACTTGCGTTAAGTGGTATTCACGAAGCACCCTTAGAGTTCCCTTAGTGGACCCGCATGTTGCGGGCACCCGCAACTAATTGGTTGAACATAAAAAAAACACGTGCCAAGATATTTTATCCAATTTCAGAGTTCTTTCTCTTTGTAAAAATTACAGCCAGAGTCGATTAAAGATTAACTTGTCTTTGTTTTCTTAGCAAAAAATCAACACCAATCAAGCATGTCTTTAAGAGCATGTTCTTCCACTCATTTAAAGAAAAAAAATGAATCACTAAAATTTACCAATGCTTTCAGAAGTTATGCATGTGTTACAAACGTAGCCCATTTTTATAGCTATCCTTGAATGTCATTGGAAGCTATTGAGTTTAATGAGAATCATATTACAGACAAACTTTAAAATGCCAACAAGACTTTAAAGGAAACATGCAGTGGAAATTCAGCTCATCTTGTTCTCTTGCACATTATTATGTGTCGCAACAATACATATAAGATCGTAATACTTGTTTACGTTGGAAGTGACAAGAAAGTGGTAGTTTTTCAATTGTTAGCAAATTCTTTCATCAATACAATCGCATGTATTGCGCGCTATTTTGCTTTTGTCGCACAAGGAACTCCTTGTCAAAAGTGCATATGAACAGTACAAACATAATTACCCACAAAAAAGCTTCGAAAAAAACTAGTGGCGACTGCTAGTGTCCAAACAAGCTGTTTAACATGATAAACATGTAAAAGCTGTATAAGCAAAGCTGTAGAGACACTTTTGTTCTGCTTTGAATGACATCACGCTTTGGCTCATGAATGTGGAAATTTTCAATAGCATAAAAATTGAAATGTTGAAATTTCTCCCTTTTACTACTACAAAAGAAGGTTGAAAGTCATAGTAACGTAGCAAGAAAGCTGTTTTAAATCTATTTAAGTTATACAAATCCTTTTGCAGGTTCCCTTTAATAATTGAACTCAAGACGGAAACCACTGTCAGAATGTGTGCTTTCAATATATAAGAAACAAGTTAGCTCTATTATTTTTTTTTAATATTGATGGGATTTTTGTATCCTTTCCCATCCTCCTCATTCAGTGGAGGTGGGAAAGTCCACGTTTCATTGTACTCAATGGGTGTTCAGTTCGCATCACGTGATGAGCGGTAAACAAGTTTGTGATCGTTTTATTGAAATAGACATAACTTAGGATTAGACTGTGCAATTTAAGTGAAATGTTCACACTTAAGTCCCATAAGATGTACTTCGTCCCATAAAAAAAAACAAAGGGCGGCAGTCGCTTCCCAAAAGTGGAGGACATACCTATTACGGCATACTGCGGGCCCCGAATTTTTTTGGATTCTAGATGCTTGCTCTGTGGTGCGATCTGAGGCAATTTCTGAGCACTCAAACCACTTTTGTAAGCAAAAGATAATCTTTTAAACATCATTTTTTGAGTTTGGAGTCATTGAATCAGCTACTTTAGAATCATTATGTAGGCTACAATGTTTATTCGGGGATAGAAAAAGTGGGGGGGGGGCAACGATATGATATCCGCCACTTATAAAAAAAAAAAGGGGGGGAGGACTTGTCCCCCATCGATTGACGCCCATGAAAATAGAACGTGCCAAATATTTTGAACACATTTTTCAAACTCGGTCCCTTTTTTTTAAACTCATCCTATAGTTGGTTCAACCGGTCACGGAAGATTAACCGGCACGTCGATTCAGTTCATAGATCCGCCATTGTGACAATCGAGATGATCCACGCAAATTGTGGTGTGCTTGCGGGACGTCTGGAGGTCCCGCAAATTTACGGGTGGTTTACGGGCACACGCAGATTTAAGGGGGCTTTTTGAATAACCCACAAGTGCTTAAGTGAGGGTTGCGGGGAAGTTGCGCGCCCGCAAGCATTTACGGGTGCTTTGTGAATAAGGACCGGACCTATCTTGCTAGGCAGACCAATCCCGTCATCACCTTTAGACCCAGTGTTCCCAGGTGCTCCCCGCTCACCCATAGGTCCAATAGGGCCAATCTCACCTTGCTGACCTGCATCGCCCTTTGACCCCGGCTGACCGTACGGCCCCATCGGTCCTACTGGCCCAGGCAGACCTGGTATGCCGGGTACTGCGGCAGGTCCCTGGCAGCACTGCTGACACACCTGAGACGCAGGACCATCACCGTCCGAGGGAACCGGCCCAGTAACGGAAGCTCGGAGCTTCACGGAGTGTCCCAGAAGGAGGGCGATTGACAGAATGGTGGCCACGCAGATCTCCATCTGTAAAGAAACCAATATCTCAAACTAAAAACAAATCAAGGGAGAGTGGCCAAAAAAATAGGAAAGATTTGAAGAAAAAAAACATATTGAGGTCAGATAAATTGAAGAAGTGGTCTAAAAGACATTTTGAATAGAAACAATAATTTAGAGAACGGTTCGGCTTTAAATGACAGTGGCCTATCTGGGGCAAAAAGGCTCAAATTGTATGCACAGCGTTGTTTTAAATCGTTTGTCATTGCAAATGAGGTCAACCCATAGAATAGAACCTGAAAGTTGACCCCTGGTTACGCGCTTCCGGACCCCCTGAATCAGAAAATTAGCGTGTAAAAGTCGGAGTTTTTAAAATAACAAACTGTTACATTGATCTTTAAGATAATCATCCTTCAAGAGGCCTTTGTAAAATTGTTACTCTCATCTGAAATAGAAACTGAAATTTCGCTTGACGTGGAAGAGAAAAATTGTGCCAAAAAGATGACATCTAGCTTCCGAAAAGAGAAAGGGCAACCCAATTTAAAATGCCCATAGCAGTTAAGGTCGGGTGTGTGTGGGTGTGTGTGAACGTATAAACACTGCCTTATGGAGTACGGGAACAATGGGAGGTACCCCACAAGGAATGCCCACCGACTTGCGGGGTACCGTTTTGGTACCCCACAAGTTTTTTCACGAAATAGATATATGGATTTTACTCAAAAACTAGGAATTTCCACGGTGGGTTGATCCGTCTCAAATGGAGGAGTTTTAGAAAAGGGATATTAAGTCCGAATTTCAGCCCAGGAAATTAATTCAGGTTAAAATGAGATCATTTTGAAATTAGTGTGCGACATTGCAAAATGTTAGTACACGAGAACAAAGGAAGTACCCCACTTCTATGCTTATGTGTGTGTGTGAGTTTGTCTTACATACGCAGTGTGGACTTCCGAACAAAAGACGTCCACATAATGTAGGTAGCACCGACGTTGTGTGGACTTACCCCACGTCCACACAGTGTTTCCCCATTTCTGGAAAACAGGTTTAGAGGCATTTTTGGGTTAGGTTTATCTGTAGCAGAATGAAGAGAAACACTAAAGGGAATCATAGGAAAAAAAATGGGTTGAAAGAGTTTTCACAGTTTGAGAAAAATGAGTTTTTTCACTGGTTTTTCTTAACTACACGAAAGCAATGGAAAGTCCACACTAGTCATGTGAAACAAGTATGTGTGTGTGTGGGTGTGGGTGTGGGTGTGTGGGTGTGTGTGTGTGTGTGGGGGGGGGGGGGTGTTAGGTGGTTAGGCTGGTACCATCTGTCGATGGGGGTGTTTTTTACAACCGACAATTATGAACACTATAACCGACAATCAGGGGCGGATCCAGGAATGTTTGCAAGGGGGGGGGGGTTTCTTCAGCAAAACATTCTGAAAATGTACACAGGTTTTTTTTCTCTGGACACTTGGCCTCGGTAAAAACAAAAACTGGGGGGGGGGGGTTACCACATTCCAATAGGGGGCGCTGTTCAATTTCGATGATTATTAACACAAGATTACGGAATTGTAAACCGTATTTTGAACAGGCAAACATTATACCAGTTTAACTTTTTTGGGTGTCACAGCGGGTGGGGGGGAGGGGGTTCGACTTTTTTTTTAGAAATTTGTGTGGGAATTTTTGGGGGGACAGAGCTGGGGGGGGCACCCCCCCCCCCCCACCCGGATCCGCGCCTGACAATTAAATGGTGCTTTTCAGGGCGATACAGGCGGGCTATTGAAAAAAAGAGGCATCCGAAACGTTATATCACGCTGATTTTTTTAAAAAGGGCACTTAACAAAAAGGACACTGTTTACAAACTATTGGGTGGTCTTTATACAAACTATTGGGTGGTAAGCGGTGGTGAAATACGGGCATTTGAATGGAAAAGGGCACTCTTTACAAAATATTGGTGGCGGGAGTAAATCACCCCCCCCCCCCACCGCTGCCTACGCCTATGCATCCCTTTACCTCCTGACCACCCTGGGCAGCCTACGGTGGATCCCCTATACCCCCAAATTGACGGTAAGGCAGCTTCGAGATCGGGGGGGGGCGTTTATTTAATGCCAGAGTGCTGTTGTTCTCCTTTTCCTTAATATTTCCATCAAGAGGAAGAGGATGAGTGAGTCGATTTTACAACAGTTGTGTCGTCTATTGTAGCTCTTGTAAAATAATCGATATTTTTCTGATTGAGGTGGCCGCTTTAATTTGCTTAAACGATGTATCAAATCCGCCCTGCTGGTAGACAGCGGCGTAGCCACTGGGGTGGAGTGGAGGAGGGATGGGGTGTAGGAGGCTTGGGCTTACACGCACTTAAAGAAAATAATGTCCCGCAGTCGCCCCCCCCCCCCCCTCGGAAATATTTAATTCCCATAAATGACCATGCGGGTATAAGGTATAAAAGAAATTGCCCTCCCCCTTGCCTCCCACTGGAATAACATCTTGTAACACCACCAATCCCCCATGGTGGGAAGTCTGGCTTCACTGCTGCTGGTAGACCGGTTTCAGTTTCATATTATATTATCAAGTCTAAATACTGAGGTAGGGAACCATGCTGTGTTCACCGCAAAGAAACGAAAAAAATGTCAAGCAACAGATTAAATAAATAAAAACTAGAAATGTCTAAAATACCGGGGTTATGAAGCGTATTTTTCAAACAAAAGACTAAACGTGGGCCGATTGCTTTGGTCGGCGTCTCATTCAAAAGTGAATAACCTTTGTAGCTCTAGAAAACTTGAGAAAAAAGATGGGGCTGTAATAAACTAATATACAAACTAGGTTTAAACGTGTTTTGGGTTGATTCCCTAGGTCGAAGTTTTTTACCTCTTTTTTTGCTTAAGTGAGAAGGGCCGTTTTGTTGTCTAAAATCATGACAACACGCCTATTGTTCTCCTTTGTAGTCGTTGCAATGGGCTTTTATTATTTTGATGACAGGGCACGTTTCAACAAAATATCCTGATTATCAATATAAATATTGAGCTTTTTATTCGTTACCAATAAAGCAAAAAAAAAATGGGGAAAAAAAAAAATAATTAGCTGTACAACAACTCGCAATTTCAAGCTTTAAAAAATGAAGGGATGGCCTAAATGTTGGACAATCCATCACGCTAAGGCAAAAATTGCTAAGGCGAAGTAAAAAAAAAAGGAACATGCTTCTTGTCCCGCCCGCTTCCTTTTGAATGCCGCCTGGGTTGTTTTTATATATATATATATATATATATATATATATATATATATATATATATATATATATATATATATATATATATATATATATATATATATATATATATATATATATATATATATATATATACAGTTTTAGACACATTTGCTTTAACCGTGGACTTTTTCGGTGTTGTTTATATATATATATATATATATATATATATATATATATATATATATATATATATATATATATATATATATATATATATATATATATATATATATATATATAAACAACACCGAAAAAGTCCACGGTTAAAGCAAATGTGTCTAAAACTGTTCATTGTAGACAATGCAACTCTAAATGACACTGTAAATGTGTTCAGTTCTCTTGTCCAACTTGTCTTTCATTTTAAAAGTGTCTTTTAACAGTTGAAACACCAACGGTTGCAGGAAATTTCAAAATGGCGGCCATCTTGAAAAACAAAAAATAATAAAAAGCCCCATTTCCTCTTTTTTTTCTCAAAAACCCGGAAGACAAACTTGTTTTTTTTTTATTCGGCCTAATATATTCGAAAACGATGTAGCTCTATCGATCAATATACCAAAGCTACGGTTGTACGGGGTGTGTCAAAGAAAAAAAAGCGGTACCCAAACCCAAAAAATTGTAATTCATATTTTAAAAAAAATATGTGGCACAAAACATAATAATGACCGGAAAGCCAATTTCATAAGCTACTTTTTGATGAAGAACATACTAAAATTGCTCAATCTGTTCAAACAATATCACCATTTAAACACAATGGAAATGATCCTAAAACCTCTTCGTCCAAAAATGCGATTACAAGAATCGTCGTCAAAATTGTCTTCAAACATGCACCAGCGATAAAACCTCAGTTTAAAAGTTGAAAATATTCAACAAGGTCCTTTTGAAGGCCCGTTTTTCGAACAAAGTGGAATTTATAAATCATATTGTTTGCCTAACCAGGGTTGTTAATAAAAATATTGTGTACTATACAGTTGTTGACAGTTTTGAAACAAGCATTCTGTGTCATTTTTGTTGTTGTTCCAAACTTTAAGAATACACAATAAACTGTGTTTTGACGAAAAGGTTTTAGGGTCATTGCGTTTAAGTGGTGATATTCTTTGAATGGATTGAGCAATTTCATTAGTATTTTTTTCTCCAAAAGTAGGTTGTGCAATTGTCTTTCCAGTCATTAATACTTTTGATGCTACACATTTATTTAAATGTGAAATATATTTTTGGGGGTTTGGGTTCCGCTTCTTTTTTTTTTCTTTTTTTTGGACTCACCCTGTATTAAAACAAACCATATCAAGACACACAATTCTATAATCTTGGCTTTTTTAGGTTCAGCATTGTTTATCTCAATATTTTTACTACTTTCAGCAGGCACGTTGATTTCTTTTTATCATTGTTTTTGTAATACTGATAAGGTAAAATTATCAAAGAGGTCTTTATAAAACTTACCGCAATAATTGCTTAAAATGCAGTACAAATTTGAGCTATTAATAAAGCTGTTATTTTGTGGTCATTGCAAAAATTGAAAACAATAAAGGAATTTTTGCTTCTCATACTTCTTCGCATCGTACTTTTTTTTACTTTCCAAACATAATTTTATAAAAATACAATACATTCATAACTAGTCTTCAATAATTGAAAATGCACAAACATTTAAAAAGCATAGTCGGAAATAGCCAAAAATCTCTGCAAGGTAACATCAAATCATGATCCACTCCAAAAAAACTATCAATGCAACAACAATAAACAGTTCAAACTCAAAACTTGTTGAGTTTGAACTATTCTCTAATTAAAATGAAATTACGCATAATTTTTTTTTTCAGAAACAACGCATTTATAACACATAGGGATACACTTCGACACAGGCCGTGGTTCATTATATGAAAAAGGTACGAAACGTCACCCATGTTTTATATAATACATTCGACTCTATGCTGCAATTCAAATGCATAGATTTTTTCCAGCAAGAAACACAATCTTTCTTAGGGTTAATGATATCGGGGCGAGTCTCCATCCACCTAAAAATAACCCAACCGGTGCAGAAACTACGTACGTTTCACAATCGTCATTACTTATTATACATGTTCACATAACAAAGTGATTAAATAACATATTTTCTGAAATATTTTATTTGTTCACATTGTTATTAAAATTCTACTAACAATATTTCATTCCACAGTAGAAACAAACATAATTATTGTCAAATATTTTAAAGCAAACTTTGGTAATATATCTCTCAATACTCGAAAAGCTTAATTACAAGCACTCGGAATTGTAAATATATTGCCTATACGGAACAGTGCAGTGCAATGTAAACACATACATTATTGTTTAATAGATGCATCTGATAACTCCCGATTAGATTATTTGAACAGTATATTTCTTATATTTTGGTTCATACGATCACCAGCTTAAAACAAATACACCATGCAGCTGCCCGACTGATTATCTCGAGAAGTATAGATCGCAAAGCAGACATGCATCCATACTTCAGGAACTACATTGGCTCTCGGTTATACGAATAGATTCTTTGTTAGTTTTCAGACTTATCCGTCGAGTTTAGTTCAGTTCAAGAGTTTAAAATTCGCACTAAAAGCTGTGATGGGGTTAAGTTCAACAATCCTAAAGTGTGTCCAAAGCCTAAAAAAGCACACGGAATCGTGCTATTACCATGTGGAGCAGACGTTCAGCCGAAATGAGACAGATTTATGAATTTGGAAATTTTCAATCTCAGCTAAAAATATTTCCTTCTAAAAATATTTTATTTGTATCCTTTTTTTTTTTTTTTTTAAAGTATTTTCATGTCGTGCAAACCGTTTCGATATTTTAATGCTATACATTGTATTAAAAATTAATCATTTTTATCATGCGTATTAAATTCATATTTATTATATTGGTTATTGTTTCGGCAAAATGAAAAGCGAAAATGTTTTTTTTTTTGGGGGGGGGCGGATGCACTGCTCTTGTATATTTATGCGAGGGGATGATTAGTTAATTAATTAATTGTAAAGGTAAAGGAGGAAGCCACTGAATGAGGTGTAGTGATAGATGTGGTGACTATACGCCCTACCGTACATGGTAAGATACACCGTGTCTCCACGCTGCAGAACCAGCACCGCGCTTCCAGACAACTGAACTCGTTGATTTGCTGCACAATAGGTGGTAATCACCTTGAGGTTGTTTTTAACAAGATTGATGTCAAGGCTACCGCTGTTGCTATACTTAAGAACAGAAAACGTAAATACGTAGGTGCCCGGCACATTACAGGTGAACGTACCGGTCTCGAGATCGAAGATGGTACCTGGCAGAAGCGTCTCGGTCTGCTGGAAGGGCAAACGGGTGTCGTGACTCGTGGAGGTATCCGAGCCGCTCGTCCTCACCACGGTGAATGCCACAAGCTGGTTGGAGTCGTCTGGTGTCTCCCCTGGCTCACCCTTTTGACCTTTGACACCAGTTTCCCCAGTTCCTCCAACAAAACCAGGTAGCCCTCTCTGACCTATCTTTCCGGGCAGACCAAGCCCATCATTACCTTTAGACCCATTGTTCCCAGGTGCTCCTCGCTCACCCATAGGTCCAAAAGGGCCAATCTCTCCTTTGAGACCTTGCTGACCTGCATCGCCCTTTGACCCCGGCTGACCGTACGGCCCCATTTGTCCCATCGGTCCAGGCAAACCCGGTATGCCGGGTATTGCAGCAGGCCCCTGGCAGCACTGCTGACACTCCTGAGACGCAGGACCATCACCGCCCGAGGGAACCGGCCCAGTAACGGAAGCTCGGAGCTTGACAGAGTTACCCAGAAGGAGGGCGATTGACAGAATGGTGGTCACGCAGATATTCATCTGTAAAGAAACCAATACATCAAACTAAAAACAAATCAACGGAGATGGCCCAAAAAATAGGAAAGAGTAGACAACAATTTTGAGGTTGATTAACTGAAGAATTTGTCTGAGAGACATTTCTGACTGGAGATTAATTTTGAGAAACAATAATTAAAAGAATGTGTTTTGCTTGACATGACGGAGGATTTTCTGGGGCATAGGGGCTCAAATTGTATGATAAACGCTGTTTTTAAATCGGTTATCATTGACAATGGGTTCAACCCATAGAATAGAACCTGACAGTTGACCCTAGTGGCGCGCTTCAGGAGAAAATAAGAAAGTTTTTAAATGTTGATAATTGGGACTTTGATTCACAAGATAATCACCCTCCGAAAAGGTGCCAAAAATGACCTCTAACTTCCGAAAAGAAAAAGGGCCACCAAATGTAAAATGCCCATAGAAAGGCCGTGGGGGTGGGGGTGGGGGAGGGGTCCAGATGCTCAAAAAAATGGCGTACTTTCAGGCTCTATCAATTTGGTGCAATCCTGCATTAAAATTTCTATAGACCCTAGTGCTAAATGCCCATACTTCAAAATTATTTTTAAAATACACGGAACTCTCACAGGTATTTTAGCTGCACAAAAAAATAATGATCATCATCATGTCATCTTTCATTTTATTTTCATTTTTTGGTGTGCTGACCATTAAATTTTCGAGAAATTCTCACCCAAAGAAGACGACCCCTATTTTCCCCAAAGCGGAAAGGTAGCTATCTTGAAAATCGATCCCTCCACATCAGGGCAAAATAGCCACTTTCGAGTTCAATTGCAACCAAAATGCTCAGAATTGAAGCACCAAGTCCGGGCCAGAGGTTCAATGCCATATCTCTTCCATTCCCCATTGTATGGTTCTCAAAACTCTCTAATATAGAATATTTTGAGGGTATAACTTTTATTCATGAGCTCGGCGGATGGATTGAGGCCTATTTACCGGTGTGCATGCACCCTTAAACACTGCAACTGTTTTCGTTGTAATCATTGTTTTCGTCATTGGTTCCCGTCACTTTCAATTTTGTGAGTGTTTTAATATCACTACCAATTATTTGTTTGAGAAAAAAAAACACACTTTATTTTTGTTGTAATCATACTTCATTTTTCTTTAACGGTTCCCGTCCATATTCACTCGTCTTGTTTCACATATCACAACCAATATTCAGACGAAATTCCAACTTAATGCAAAGTGTTTTTTTTTTCTGGAGATATCTTCTCCACAAAGAGTGTTTATTTTTGTTCAATTATAGCCGACTTCGGTTGGACAGTTCACAGGGACCGCTATTTGTGTAACGCGCCCTCTTTTGGAAGAAATTGTTGATGGCAACATGTACGTGTGTGCCCAAGGCCTTATACACACTGCAGCATTTGTTTTCGTTGCATGCATCGTTTTCGTCATCGGTTCCCGTCGATTTAGATTCATGAGTGTTATATATCACGACCAATTATTGGACGGAATTTCAATTCGATGCAATGTGTTTTTCTTGAGTTATCTTCTCCACAATAACGAGTGTTTTTATTTTTGTGCAATTAAAATTGACTTGTGTTTGGACCAAATATTTCGCAAATAATACACTGTATTTTCAATAATCATACTTCATCGTTCTTCAACGGTTCCCGTTAATTTTCAAAGGGTCTGTTTCATATATTACGACCAATCCTTGGACGAAATTTCAATTTAATGCAATGTGTTTTTCTTGAGTTATCGTCTCCATAAAGAGCGTATAGATTTTTGTGCAATTAAAGTTGATTTGTGTTTGGACTGAATTTTTCGCGAATAGTACACTTTATTTTCTATAATCATTCTTCATAGTTCTTCAACGGTTCTCGCCAATGTTCAAAGGGTTTGTTTCAAATATTACGACCAATTTGCAGACGAAATTTCAATTCAACACAATGTGTTTTTCTGAAGTTATCTTCTCCACAAAGAGTGTTTTATTTTTGTTAAATTAAGGCCGACTTCGGTTGGACAGATCGCCGCGTTCAATGTGACCGCTATTTGAGTAGCGCACCCTATTTTGGAAGAAAATGCTGATGGCAAATTGCGATTTGCCAAAGAGCCCAAAACCTTATTGGTGCAACCCTGCATTAAACGTCCCATAGACACTAGTGCTAAATGCCCATACTTCAACATTCTTTTAAAAATACTAAAACCTTCCAGGTATTTTAGCTGCACAGAAAATGATGATCAACATGTCATCTTTCATTTTATTTTCATTTTTTGATGGGATGACCTTTGACTTTTCGAGAAATTCTCACCCAAAGAAGACTACCATTTTCTCAAAGCGGAAAGGTAGCCATCTTGTAAAAACGATCCCGCACAACATAGCAAAATAGCGCCACTTTCGAGTCCAATTGCATCCAAAATGCTCAGAATTGGAAGCCCCAGGTCCGGGCCAGAGATTCATTGCCATATCTTTTCAATTCCCCAATGTATGGCTCTCAAAACTCTCTAATATAGAATATTTTTCGGGTATAACTTTTATTCATGAGCTCGGCGGATGGATTGAGGCATATTTACCGGTGTGCACCTTTCTTGATTAATTTGTTATTATTTTGCCCGCCGATACAAGTTCGGGAGGGGACCAAATGTGAGGTTTTTTTAAGTGGGGGTGAGGCGGTCGGTGGTGGTGGGAGCGGTTGGGGGGGGAGGGGAGAGTTTTATTTCGGGGGTGCTGTGGGGTGGATGGGTTGGTGCGGGGGGGGGGGGGCTATACATCTCGATAGAGTCATCAATTAAATATCAAAACACCCACCTCGATGGTTTGTTCTGCAGTTGAAGATCAGGTCCAAGAAGAGATCACAAGGAGTTCAGTGTAAGCTGAAAAAGAAACCGGTAATGTTTATTTATGAAATCACGAACATTTACTCGTTAATAAATAATGCTATCATGATTAAAATTATAATGGAGGCTTTCCTGGCCAAAGACGTCCAGAGAAAGCAACCTGTGTTAATATCGCATTGTTCAAATTCTCGTTTATTCTCTGCCTCAGTGAAATCAGCATTCAATGTAATCAAAGTAAAAGGTTTTCATTAAAACTTTTATTGAAATTCATCTTTCAAGAACAAGGGGTACCGGTAGATCTATTTTGGGGGTACTGGTCAAACTTTAAATTGAGCAGTTTAAATTGGGTAGTTGCATTAACAAGATGTTGTTTTATAGTGTTAAAACAGGTGAAAATGGCAGGACTTTTGAGAAAGCCGTATCAAGGAATTTACAGCCATTTATAATGCCAGGGAAGGAAATATGCATATGAAAACTTGCAAAGTTTCAAACTGATAATAAATTTGGAACACTCACCTATTCAATATTGTGAACAAATTGAGTTTATTGTACTTTCGTTAAAAATGAAATCAAATTCGCCTATAGGCCTACTTGATGCAAAATGAATCCAGCCAGATAAAGCAATTTGAACTTGAATAAAACTGTGTGCGTAATAATGATCCGGTCCGTTTGTATTCGCGCCCAATAGTCTATTCTAACCAGTGACACTTTTATCGTGCAATGCTTGAAAGCAATTTATCGTGCAATGCTTGAAAATATGAACGTTCAGGCCTATATAGTGATCAAACCGGAATGACGCACTGTGATCTAGTGAAATGACACAGTTTAAAAACAAAGTGCAAAAGGTATTGAGATTATCCCAATTTTCAATAACACAGCTTAAAGACAGGATGTTTGAGATGTCCCGATTTCGTTTACACGTTCTTCCTTGGTCAACTTCCGCATAACCTTTTATCCTGAATTAGTTACAGTGATTGCCGGAAATTGTGATCGCATCGCATCGGATTTTATGTCTGATATAATATACAGGGAAAACTAGCAAGAAAACAACGCGGGTGATTGATCATACTGATTATGGGTTAAGTGTCGAGCTTCCGCAAGATTTCTTTCTTTGAACACAAAAAGGTTTAAATTTATCATCTGAAAAAAATGTGTAAGTGCGTGAACTTCAATCAGAATAAGGAACTTGATGTAATACACTCTTGAAAAATCCACAGCCAGGTTTGACTGGAAAACTGGCGAATCTGAATGACAATAAAAACTATAAAACTTCCATGAATTTTTAGGTTTTTTTTCAAGAACTAAATGAACCAGTCAGTATTTGGGCAATTGCTGTGCGTCGAGAGTGCACTATGATTGCAATAGCGGAAATATTGTCAGACAGGAATTCCTTATTCCCAACAAATATGAAACCGAGATTATTTGCTCTGAGCTATAATTGCCTGATTTTGGCCTCAGAAAATGGTGGTCTGAATCCGCATCAACTGTTCAGACTAAGAGCTAATGGCTATAAGTACATTTGTGCTAATATCATATATCAAAAAGATCAATCCCAAAGTAAGCAGAATTATCGTAAAAGATTGTTTCGACACTCACCGTGCAACTCTTGTTCGATCTTGCCAACAGTTCTCTCGGGTTGTCGTCTGGACGTGGACATGAGCTGCGGTCGTTGTGAGGAGTGAGCCGGCAGCTTGTGACTTAAATATTGACGTCGATTTCCCGAGCAGTGACTGAGGAACTTACAAGCGCGGTTTGTGATTGGCCCCTGCGCGCTGTCAATCACACATCACTGACTCGCTTCATATTGATGAGAGGGAAATGATGTTACTGTTACACTGCCACACGTTAAACCCGAAGCTTGTATCACCGACACTCAAATGGACGCATCTAATTGGTGGAATGATTGTATGGATGTCGGTGACACGATCATACACGTGGATTGTGATTGGCACCTGTCAATCACAGACCACTCACTTGTGGTTACCGACTTATTGGATGACTAACTGTGATTGGTGGATAGAACAATGACGTACACCAGCCAAACGTGATTCAATCAGTGTTTGTTGTGCGCTTCGTGTTATTTAATGGAGCCACGCATTTGGTGGCTAGTATTTTGTAGTCAGGTTATGCAGTCTACATTTTTGATAGAAAAACGAAGGCGTAATAATTTAGCTTGAAAAGAAAAA